ATAATGTAATACAGATATAGTATAGAATAAAATATAATATAAATACATTTAATAAATAAAAACCATACATTTTTGAAATTCTGACAAATTTACAGGCGTGTTTAAACTGTTGCTTTACGCCAGATAAATTTTTTATTTATTTTTTTTTTAAAAAGGAAATTTAATATTTATTCAGAGTTAGAGATTTTTAATGTTATTTTATATTTGTTTAATTTTGCAATTTGATTAATTTTTTTTTGGTGTGTTTCAAAAAGATGGAAAAAACACAGTAAAATACAAAATTATTTTATTTTTATTTATTTATCTAAGTTTATTTAGCTTTTTTTTTGTACAGTGAAGGACTAATATGAGTCAAGAAGCGTTTGAGCCACCTTCTGAAATGAATAAGATGATCTTAAGGAGCAAAGGTCAAGAAGATGCTCAAGTTTGTGGAGTGACAGCAGAGCAAAGCTTCGTTTGCAGTGGTAGCTGGCCGTCTTGTCGTGTAGGAGTACTCTTCATGCTTCATTTTGCTCAAGTGTAAATTGTTTGTGAAGACACAGAATGCTGCTTCTGAGCTTCTCTGGCGAAAGGGCCACAGATGAAATGAAAATATTGACTGTGTGTAATAGGGGTGAAACAACAAGGTTACATTTCCTGCATCTGAGTCAATTGCCACTCAAATAGCCTCCGTGCAGTGACAGATCCACTGAACAGCACGCAGCCAGAAAATATTCTCACAGTTAAATTATTTCTTCTCGCTACCTCACCTCCATCTTTCCCTTTTGACTTAATCTTCCTCCAAGTCGTCTCATGTGACCCCCGGTGTCCTCAAAAATGAATTTTCTGGGGCATCAATCATCCAAGTAAGCGGCTGTGAGACTTCTTGAAGACTGATGTTTGTGGACTCCTGTCGTGGCACCTTTTTGTTAATAAATGAATCACCGTTGCTGCGTTAAAGAGAAGAGACGATGGAGGCATGACATCATTGTCGCCATCTCTCTCTCTCTCAGATGTATTCTCTCTCCTGCACTTGTCCCACTCTTGTTACGGAAGATAATTTCGTACAACCTTTGCGGGGGGGGGGAAAGGAGGAAGAGGAGGAGATGAGAGGCTGGATTCCTAAGAGCTCCAATTAGAGCCAGAGAGGATGTGCCCGCCCGTCTGAAGTGGCACCGTGTGATTGAGCTGTTTGCGATTTAATAAGCATATGCTTGTTGTGCTAATTTGCAACAGTGTCATTTTTAGCCCCTCAAATAAATTTTGCTATAAAAAAAGAAAAAACACGCCACATGAGCTACAACCTGATGTCATCAAATGAAAACAAAAGATTGTGAACTATGCTCCACAACAAGATTACTTCAGGTACTAAGTGGCTGCTTCTCCGTTTGGCCATTTCTATGAGTCATCCTTCTCAGAAAGCTAAACACCTTCTCCACAGAGATGCAAGCGAAGAAGTGTACCTACTTTGCATGTCTTTGTCTTTGATTCCTCCCTGTGTCTGTTTCTCTCTGAGGCTAAAAAGCGTGTTTAATGCTCAAAGCCGGAGGAAAATCTACTGGCACGCCAAGACAGGAGGCATGTGGAGACTGAGTGACTGCTGACTGACATTGGACGCTCTTTTTTTTTTTTTTCCCCCTTCCCTCCACTTTATCACTCATTCTCTCATTCTGCCTCCAGAAGACAGATAGCCATCTTTCTTTCATGGAGGACTCTGTCTTGTTAATTTACTCCTTGTCAGGTACTTCTTATTCTGTCAGCACTCTTTTGAACGTTGTCCTTTTCATTTCAGTCATCATGCAAGTAATATGTCATGAAGCAGGTGTCTATCAGCTGGAATGGATGTCCATTCTTGTTGCCACACTTCAGGAAGCGTCGTGCAGTATTCAGTAGCTGACATGTCAGTGTGGACAATATATGAAATTTCTATGCTCCTAATCAAGCAGGTACATATATTATACCTGTATACCTGCATGTTTTAAAGCCGATATCATGTAAAAAACAGTGATTGAACAGAGACACTTATGTTTAACATGTAAGATAATTAAGTAAAGAAGTAGTCGGGGTCAGCACTGGAGAAAATTTCAACAAATCATGGATGATTTTAATACTTTAGCGATTTTTATTTCATTTTTCTGACATCCACTGGTAATCAGTTATAATAGAACATATATGCCTACATTTTCATATGGAAATATTGGTGAGATTGCCAATAGATGAGGTCTACAGATGAAAGCTGCTGTCATTAACCTGCACTTTTGTTCATCTTATTGAAGAATATCCTGATTATATAGTAATGACTTCATGTGCAGAGCTCCGTAGGGATTCCTGGTTAAAGTAGTATTTATGAGCTGTGATCAAAGGAAAGGAACAAAGATTCAAAAAGAGACAGTCGCCCTCCTTGATTCCTCCTTCTTCTTCTCTCTATGAACAAATAGTTTTGCTGTAAATGAGCAAAGACAAAGCTGGAAATGCAATAATAAAGACGAACTCTAAGTCAACTGCCAGACATTTACCGTATGTACATACACAAATGAATTTCATGCTTCACGGAGGCGAGCTGCTCTGGTAAAAATAGACCTGGCAAATAGGAGCTGGGGTCAGCCGTGGCTCACTGACCAGGTGGGCACATGGAGGCAGCTGCAAAGGAGCACAAAGCAGCCTGGCGCTGTGGACGGTGGAGCTTCGGTTAGCAGGAACACGGAGGAGAGTGGAGACGCAGTGCACATTCGGATTGGCAGATGGATAGAGGATCACAAAATGGTTGCTTTAGCTTGAGGAACAGTCACTTGTGCTGAATGAGAATTAGATGGACTGTATGAGGCTGGGTGAAGGCTTTAAGGTTTAATGATAGAATTCCAAGTGTATTCTTTTAACTAACCCCGCTTTAGTATATTAAATTCTAATCCTTTTTCACATTTTTGGGTCCATTATCCAGCTCAGTCCAGTGTGACTGTGTGTGTTTGTAATATTTTTTAGAGCTGTATCTGGACGGTTATACGTATTTTTCCTTCAGGAAGTTATGATTTTAACATTTTTCTCTCTCTTCTTTGGATCTTATGGCTTGTGTAGCCATAGAACCATGAGTTGTAGTTTAGGTATTTTAGGATATCTCGATTAGCTGCATCATGACGAGTTCATTTGCAAAAACTCCATCTTCACAAACCTTCAGACAACCCACTTTCCCATCGTCTACGTGAGACAATATCAATCAAACTTCAGTTATCTCTGTTTTTGTCATTTCTACTGAGTCAAATCCACTCAACTTCAGTTTGATTGATATTATCTCAACAAAAAAAAAAAAAAAGTTTTCTGAAAATCTACAGTTCAGTTGTAAAGGATATACACGTGTGTATGTGTTATTCAAAGCCACGGTATCTACCTTCTACTTGGTCAGTGTCCTAACCTGAAAATGCCAAGAAACACAAATCTCCAAACTTCTCCAAACCTCCCTTCGCCTCGTCGAACTGATTCACCAGGACGTACCGTTAGAATACGGCCACCTCTATTGTGCTACGAGGGAAGCTCGCTGCAGAGCTGCTTCATGTGGATCTTCCTTTTACACCAAGGGCCCATCTGGTATGTATCCTGCAGTCAAGCTGGGAGGAGATTGGCTGTTGAGCTTCTGCCACCGACCCTCCCTCTACCTCCCGTTCCCCCCCCGTGCTGTACTCGGCTGTGACTACATTAGCCGAGCTGTCAGTCATCGGCGGACGGGAATGGGGGTGGGGGGGATGGAAAGGTATGGTTTGGGCGCAGGGGAGGGGAAGCGGACGCAGTTTGGAGGCCAGGAAAGGTGACTTTGACAGTGACTGAGTAGAGACACTGACGAATAAGATCTACGTGACCCTCTCCGACCTCCACTCGGCTCTAATCATCAGAGGAGAGCTGCACACACGTCTGTCAGCCCTGAAGAAAAAAACACAAAGCAGATACACACCATCAACACATTTTTTTATTCACTTATTGTTGTA